ATATATATATATATATATATATATATGTTTATTTATTTATTTATATTTATATTTATATTTATATAGATGTATATGTGTGTGTGTGTGTGTGTATCTGCGGGCGCGTGCATCTTTTAACCTGATTCATTGGTAGCGGCCTTTGGTGTAAGAAAAATGTCAGTTATAGAAAAAAAAAATGAAATTCAATGATCTTACATAGGACTTTAAGTGCTCAATTAGCTGATCAACTGAAGATCATCAACATGTCTAAGGCTGATCAACTGAATTTCTACCCAGCTGCCGAAGGATCGCCCAGACCAAATACATCGACACCGATCGAGGTAGATTTGACCGGCTACCACTTGAAAGAAGTTTGGATTCTCAGAGCAAAAGCCACTTGACAGCCATAAATAAAAAGCCAACCCAAATCAATTGAGTCTACTGGTCCAAACGCTTTTTAGAAGACCCTTGCAAAGCTATCAATATGGGTTATTGATGTGAAAATGCTTTATTGTAAGACATGAATAAGAAAAGTTGACATCATCAATTATAGACGCATGTATCACTTATAATTATAAAAAAAAAAACATTAAAAAAAGACAAAAATTGATCTGTAATGCTCTTACTTAAATAAGGGCAAATAATGAATTATTACGATTCATTAAAGTAAGGATAAAAATATAATTTTATTAAGGATCTCATATGATGAAAATTAGGAATCATTTTTTGAATGAAAAATTATTCCATACGGACAGGCACTGCATGCAAGATGGATGCGGTGTCCGATCATGACCGTAAATCATGTGATATACGATCAGGATGTATTTCGGTGGGCCCACATAATTTTTTTAAAAAAAAAAAACTGAATTATATCATGACCATAAATCACCGTATTCTACGATTAGGATCGGACACCACATGCAGTATCCGTACGCAATAATTTCTCCTGTTTCACTGCTCTTCTCATCTTCTCTTCTTCTTCATGCTTTACTCCTCAAAATGTCTTCTAAAAAACAAATCTAAATCCAACCAGTTGAGTAAGATGTTATTCCAACGCCTTTAATTAAAATGTACGTGTCAATGCTGATGCCTGATCCCCTCGTACACATGCGTCCACCATCTACAACTGGTGTATCGCTAGCAAACATTTTTAATTATATTTTATATTATCATAAATAATATAATATATATATCAACATATTAAACTTTATCTAAATTCCTCCCAAACTTCAATACAATTACAGCCGCCCCCCGCCCACATCAGTCCACCGCCAAAACAAACCACAGACAAATAAAAATACTAAAAATACCATCATTCCTCACTCTTCCCCACTAGGCCATTTAAATTACTTATTTGCATTTTACTCCCAAAATAAAAAATAATAATTAATTAATTAATTTGTCCCATTGAATTTTGTAACCCAGCCTGTGAAACCATAATATCACATAAACCTAAAACACATTTTGGATGTGTTTAGGACAGCTTGTGTGTTTCAGAATAAGCAGTTTATCATGAAACGCGACGGAGTTTGATCTACGGTCTGCTTTTAGTATAAATTAGTATAAAAATAGAACTGTATTTTCGAATAAACAGACAAAAAACACAGATCAAAATAGAACTGTATTTTCGAATAAACAGACAAAAAATACAGATCAAATGTTACCGCGACGCTTTCAAAAAAATACCCGGGCATTTATAACCTGCCAACCGAAACGAGCCCTAAGTCTGAAGCGCAGGAAGCAAAAGGTTTTATAGCTAATAATCTATTACATAAATGACCTCCATCCCAAAACTTACAGCAAAACCACCACTTTTACTAAAACATTCGTAATTACATCATGTCGTCATCATGTAATATTGAATGATATCAGATGAAGCCATGACAGGCTGCTGGTTCATGGACAAAAAGTTCCATGGGCTCTGAGTTTCTCCACCGATGCAGTGCAGGATTTCATTGAGGGAACTGAGTCTGGAGCAGAGCTCCATGGTCTGAGTTCTAAGGACAGAGTTCTCTGCCTCAACGACAAGGTAGTGTTGTGTGCGGAGATTCAGAGTGGTGATAATCTGACCGTTATCTTTCTTTAACTGGCTTACCTGCGCCATGAGATCATCCAAGTGTTTCTGCTTTCTTAATCTTGACCGCCTGGCTGATTCTCGGTTGGACAGCATTCTCTTCCTCTTCTTCTGATCCATCAGAGCCTGAAGTACTTCAGCTTCAGATCCAGAGTTTGGCAGCAGGTTGGATGAACCAGAAGATGTGGAAGCCATTGATGACAAACTGTTTCCTTGCTTCAGGGATGGAGTGATTAATTAGATATCCAGTGTTGTTTCTGGATTGTTATTTTCAGAAGAGTACTAGAAAACAGAGTTATTATGGGAATAGGGAAATATAATATGTAGTTAATATAACGTCCTGGTCTGATGGTGAGAGATCAGAACTAGCTCATGAAAAAACATAGAACCAGTAAAGAAAAACGACTGAAAAAGATTGCACCAGATGGGTCCTGCGCCTCAGGGTAGAGTTTATCATAAACCCCGAGAGTAGAATTTCACTTAGGATGGTCCACATCAATCAGAAACATTAAGAGGAAGGGAAGATGCATGTGAGCAAAAGTAACTTGGAGGAGTGGTGCAGCAAGATGTAATCTTGCTGAAGAAATACAGAATTTAAGCTAATATAGAGTACAATTTAAAAAAAGAGCTTCCTTTTTCCTGCAGAACCTTGAGAACCAGAGGCAGAATCACTGGTTTCAGATGCTAGGGTGTTGACATCTTGCTGAAACCTAAAGAAAGCTAGGGTTTGGCTGGTTGGGAAGCAGGAAAACTTAGCAGGGAAGGAGAGGAGAGGGGGAAGAGGAATTTGGGAAGGGGAAGAAGGTGCAATTTATAGAATAAAATTTGAAGCAAGTGGAGGAAAAAAATAATAATAAATTTATAGAATAAAATTTGAAGCAAGTGGAGGAAAATAATAATAATAAAATAAAATAAAACAAATTAAAAGTTAATTGGGTGGTGGACAATCTGCAGTGAGGGATGGAGTTGAGGAGTGGTCATTGGGGCATGTGGGAGTCATGGAGATGGCGTCTTTTCTTTGAAAGAGTACAAAGGCACAATTGGGGAGAAACCCAGTGGTTAATTGAATCTGTGGGTGAGATGCCCAGAAAGCATCCTGCATCTCACATTTTTTCTTTTGAGTAATTATTTACAGTTTGAATTTGTATGTTTTTTAATTATTTATATAATATGTAATTTGTTTTATTACTAATATTAAAATTCTGTTATGTAGTATCATACAGTTTTGAAAATTTTAATTTTAATTTCACTTATTATTATTATTATTATTATGAATGATATGATTATAATATGTGCAAATGCTTTTTCAGGTGGCCTCGAAATCACAACAGGTAGACTCTACAAGTTGATCTCCAGGAGTAAGGGGTTGCGGGCGCTTAGGATAGACTTGCCTCGAGCTGAGCGGTTACTACCAAATGCAAGACTGATCGATGTAGGCCGCACTTATTAGACTACCCAATGGATATCAAGGTCAAAGGAATCAGTTGGCCAAGGGCTGGCGTTTGATATTGCACGAGCAACACTCAGACTCGTGATCATGCAGCTCAATGTTGGGGGTAGATGGCTTAAGTGTCCAGGACTATATTTGAGACGAAGGTTGAAGGGGAGACAATACTTTATGAATATGCTTTTTTGAGTGTTACAGTTCAAAGCTAGTGTCTGAGTTGAAATTGAATAGGGTCGCCCGGACCATTTAACAGTATTCTTTTATTTTGAATGATAGGACGTGTCTTTTTTGAGTGGGGCTCAAATCCTATAAATTGAAGGTATTGTACAAAAAAGGGAAAGATGCTCACATTTTTTTCCCATCAAGGAAATCTCTGTCAACTATTTGAGATTCCATTTATCATTTTCTCAAAGTGGACCTTTACTTTCCTTTCTTTGTGTGCATTATATTCCTCGAGTGCGATTTAAGGAAAAAATTAAGTTCAACGTCTTTAAAAGGTGTGGTACGCATGGAGTCATGTCGCAAACGAAAAGAAGAACAACAAAAGAGAAAGAAAATGATCGAGAGAACACAAGCAGCATGGAGTGCACCATATATTTTGTGACATAATAGATCTAAGAGCTTAAGGATCAAATGAGGGATGATCAGGGAGACACTCAACAAAAAACAGAAGGAGAAAACCCTAGGGTACACTAAGAACTCCTAAACTTGAGAAGTGAGAGTCTCCAAATAGCCAAGAGATTCCCTGATTCATCCCCCGAGTCTCCTTATATAGCCATAGCTTGAGCAACATCCAAAACCTTTCCAAAATATTTCCTATATGGATCCAGGTGTAGCTACGCCATAGGTCATCATAATTATGTCATAGTATGGCATAATTATGCCACAACCTAGCGTAGTTATACAACAAACTGGTGTATTGGTGTCGCCTCTATTTTTTTAAACTTTGCTCTGATCATTAGGTAGAGAGAAGAGTCTACTGTTTACACCATGGGGTGGTGTGGATACATCGATCATATTGTTTTGTTTGACTTTGTATTTGGCATCCTGATACATGCTCAACACTTGTAACCTGCAAAATATCTCGGAAACACCTTCCACAAGCATAAAATCATTATAATAAGAAAATAATGCATGAGATTTAGAAATGAAAACATCACAAATTTGATAAGCATAAATACAACAATTTCATCTTTACATATCTCTATCCTGATAAGAAGCATAAGAAAGTTTAATTACTTTCCATTGAGTTTACAATAGTAGTTGTCATTATATTGATCTAGATTAGTTCTCTTTGTTATAATTCATGGTAAAGCTTACAAATTTCATTTTTCATCCCTTAATTAATAAATCACTACATTGATGGATATAAGCCATATAAGAATGTTTTATAATGACTTGCAAATTTGAAAAATTTTGTTGAAGGAAGAGATAAGCCAAAAGTTTTACTGTATTGTATTGAAACCGGTCATCAAGTAGGATGTCATAGGGTTTAGATTTTATTATACATATTTGAATTTTGGATGTTTTATATGGCCAAATCTCCGTAGTTCAAGATGTACAACAAGTTATCTCTTCCAGGAGATGAACTCTACCAAGTGATGAGCTCATTTAGAAGAAGAAGTCATTCAGGGGATGAACCTGTCCATGAGAACAATTATCATATGAGATGTACTCATCCATGAGATGAACTCATTTAGGAGAACAACTCTCTCTATAAAACAACTCATCCAAAAGTAGTGAACTTATTAAGGAGATCAACTTTAGTAAAAGTAGAACCTATTTAGGTGGCAAACTCTCCTATCGAATGAACTTTTCTAAGAGATGAACTCATCCATGAGAACAACTTTTCTGGAAGATGAACTTATATATGAGAACAATTCTTCTAGAGATGAACTCTCCGAAGGGATGAACTCATTTAAGAGATGAACTCGATAGGAGAACAATCTCCGAAGGGATGAACTCATTTAAGAGATGAACTCGATAGGAGAACAATGTTGGGTAATGTGGAGATCTGGTCCACCAAATTTAATTAGTTTCTTAATTAAGTATCTCACCTACCGCTCTCCTACCCCACCCACCTACATTCTTAATTAAGTATCTCACCTACCGCTCACCTACCCCACCCACCTACAACTCACCTATCACATCCCACCTACCGCTCACCTACCTCCCACATACTGCTCTCATGGTTTATATAAATAGTCTCTTTTGGTTTAAAGAAAATACAAGCCAAGCAAGACCAAGCCAAGTCATCTTGAGAGCTAAGAGAAAGAGAGGAAGAGAGAGAGAGGAAGGGAGAGAAGAAAATAAAGATTTTCTTGTAAATGTTGAGGCGCTCGATGGTGTAATTCCTCGAAGTAGTAAATCATCTACAGCTCCGTCGACGTAGGCAAATTTGCTGAACCACGTAAATCTTCGTGTCGCTCTGGTGTTTTTTTTGCGTGCAATTTTTCTCGTTCCACTTTTCGCTTTATTGCCATCGTTTTTCACAATAAAATGTATAAAAGCTTTGGTTCAAATATAAGAAAGAAAGATGGGCGGAGACGAAGTGATGACATCGGGGATCGAAAAATTCAATGACACAGATTTTGCTTACTGGAGGATGTAAATAGAGGACTACCTCTATGGGAAGAAACTTCATCTTTCGTTACTGGGAAAACGATCAGAAAAGATGGACGAGGCAGAATAGAATCTGTTGGATCGACAGGTTTTGGGGATTATAGGATTAACCCTATCAAGATTGGTTGCCCACAATGTCATCAAGGAGAGGACTACTGTAAATCTCATGGCGGCTTTATCAGGTATGTATGAAAATCCAACGACAAATAACAAAGTGCATTTGATGAAAAAAGTTATTCAACTTGAAGATAACAGAATGTGTGTCTGTTGCTCAACACCTAAATGATTTTAATACTATCATAAATCAATTGTCATCTATTGAAATTGATTTTGATGATGAGATATATGCGCTGATATTGTTGGCTTCATTGTCAAATAGCTGAGAAGCTATGAGGATGGCAGTTAGCAGTTCTAGTTCTACAGGTAAATCTAAGCTGAAATATGATGATATTCATGATTTGATTTTGGCTGAGGAGGTGCGTAGAAAGGATTCTGACGATGTGTGCATTTGATAAAAAAAGTTATTCAACTTGAAGATAACGGAATGTGTCTCCGTTGCTCAACACCTGAATGATTTCAATACTATCACAAATCAATTGTCGTCTATTGAAATTGATTTTGATGATGAGATACGTGCGCTGATATTGTTGGATTCATTGTCAAATAGATGAGTATGAGGATGGCAGTTAGCAGTTCTACAGGTAAATCTAAGCTGAAATATGATGATATTCATGATTTGATTTTGGCTGAGGAGGTGCGCAGAAAGGATTCTGACGATGCGCAGGAAGGATTCTGGCGAGGCCTCGTATTCAAGTTCGGCGTTGAATGTTGATTCCAGAGAGAGATCACATGACTAGAACTCAAATAGAGGAAGATTAAAATCAAAGTCTCGTCAGCACACAACCTGCTGAAATTATGGCAAGGCTGGCCACATAAAAAAGAACTGCATGAATCCTAAGAAGAATGAGAATGATGGCGCTAATGTTGTAACTGAAGAAATACATGATGCACTATTTCTGGTAGTTCATAGTTCTGTTGATGGCTGGATACTGGATTCAGGGGCTTCCTTCCATACATATTCTCATCGGGAGTTAATGCGAAATTATGTTGTAGGTAACTTTGGGAAGGTATATCTTACTGATGGAAAAGCTCTAGACGTTGTGGGAATAGAAGTGACTCATATGCATTGCATGTTGGTAACTTACAAGAGCAAATGGACTTTGCAAAAGGTCAAGCACGTTCCTGAGTTAAAGAAAAACCTCATCTCTGTTGGGCAGCTCAATGAGGG